CTCGCTACACGTTCATTGTCTGCACCTAGTCTTACAGGACAGTGGCAGTAAATTTTGGATAGGCTCTGAAATTTGCTGCCGTTCCCTAGGCAGGGACTGACCACTGCACACGCCTGTGTAAAGGAGGTGGGGAGAAGGTCAACAGACATGTTCTAGCACTCAGCTCTCCACAGAGTACGTTGCCAAATATTATCAGCTATCAGAATGAACTGCATCCAGTCCTTTTCTACCTCTGGAGAGGAAACATTGCTGGATGCAATACTGTTGAGAGAGATGGGTAGAAATAAAGACAGGAGCCCACCTGAGACCAAGGCATGTGTCATACTGTGCCTTCTTTGGGATTCCCTTTTCTGTTGCTGGGGAGTAGGTAGGCTGAATATTGGTGGCAAATGATTTACAGATCAGGATGACTAATGTCAGGGGCTTTTATTCATTTCATGAGAAATGTATATGTCCCCCTTTGAAATGCAGGCTGCAATTAAGCGTATCCAAACAAAATTACTTCCAGTGACAGTACAGCCTGACTCAGGACAAGCAAGCACGTTTTTGGAATCAGTACACAGGCTCACCATCTCTAATCTCTGGGGTTTCTCTTATTCCCCACTGTGGAATAAGAATAGCCGTGCTGCAGAAACGGTAGATACCTCCACCTAAGTAGGAGGAAAACTGCAGTATTAGGTAATCACTACCAAAGTGCTGCGTGGCAAGCTGAGTGGGAAATAAGTACATGAAAACTAGATGACAGCTAAAGGATACAAGGTCCCTACAAGGTTAAACTCCAAAGTGAATAAAAGTTCACATTAAAGAGAGAAAATCTGAGCTAAATACAAATTAAAACATCCTAGGGATTCCTGGTCATATCTTACAGGGTACCCAGAAAGACAATCAGGCAGTTCACTATTTTTCTTTCCAACACCAAACGCAATTGCCCTTTTCCTCTGTCCAGTTGAATGAATCTATGACATTTTCATATGACACAGAAACACAAAATGTGCACGATTACAAAAAAAACCCCGTTCTATTATTTCACAGCTGCCTATTTGAACAGCTTCCTTTCAGCCCCAGGTAATTAACAACACTACCAACCCATTGATCAAAAAAGGCAATTTCCAGTTCATCTGCATGTTTACACTAACAGGCTATTTTACATTACTGAGAAGTTTCATCTGACAGTAGCAGGCACATGTTTGTGCTTCAAAATATTGCTGTTCTCCCCTCAGACAATGCTTTCACAATAACTGCAACATTTCCTACTTAGTGCAGGGAATGCCTAAAAAAGAAAAAGTATCATTCTGTAGTTATCTGTTCATCATAAACCTTTTGAACATGCCCACAACACAGAATTTGTCCATTGTTGTCCTGTCCCAGATACAGAAAGGTCAGCACACTAAGATTTCCCTCTCCTTGAACTCGGAGAAAGAAACAACATATAATCCTAGCAACTGCTATGTCCCCAGCTTTACAAATAGTAAGTGCATCATATTATTTAGCACAGGAATTGGCACATTAAGTGCTACCAACCAGAAGTCCAGCCATGGTCTTGGCCACAGAAAAAATGCTCCATAATGGCTTGCACACTCCTAGAATGGACTAACCTGCTGCCCTTCTCCTTCCACTGCTGTTGACACATGAATGGGTACTATTTGATGTACAAATCATAGTCAAGCAGCCCCAAACAATCAAGCTCTATGCGTACATTTGTAAGTAATTCATTTTGCCATGAAACCTCTTAAAAAAACCCCAAAACAAACCACAGAATTATTGTGTGATGGGAAGCCTATGGAGTTTCTTTCTGATTGCCCTGCATCTTTGTGCTGCTCATGCTTCTGTTAGCATGGTGCAATGCCAGATGCCATCCCATACAGATAGCCTGTGGTAGCTCTGCCTGGGAGATGATGCACTATCTCTGAAAGGACAAGGTAAAGCCTGTGCAGAGGATGGAGGAAGGCAGAAATGGGCTATGTGAAGGAAGAACCTGCCCTGCATTGAGGATGGGAGTAGGGAGTGTTGTGGCTGGGATGGACATGGCCTCCCTAGGGATGAATTAATAACTTTTAGGACGGAAACAAAGATTTCTCTCACTGCAACCCAGTCCATTAATGGGTCTCATTCCCTATTTCAACCAAGTACTTTCCATGCTGTGGGCAAGCCCTCTTTCCCTCCTGCAAAGAGCCACAGCAGGTCTGAGACCACTCTCTCATTCAGATTGCTGATGAGGCTGCCTTGTGCACTTAATTCACCTGGCATCCCACTCTGTAAACACAGACATGGGCTCATGATGAAATGCTGTAGGCACTAAAACCCAGCCTTCCCCTAAAACCTTTCTTGGCAGTCACAGTCAACACTGATACCAAGGGGATGCTGAGGAGACCACCCCCTCGTTTAATAGCTCCAGGTCCAATTTGAAGCAGATTGGAAGAACAATTGAAAAGGAAGACCTAAAACTGATCCTGTGCATAGTGATTTAACATCAAACAGTGTCCTTGACCTCTGGGCACCCTCAGACAAATGCTACTGCCAGCTTGCTCTGGCTCTGTGTTTCTTCTGGGGCTGCACTGCTGTGCAGGCCTACCTGGCCAGAAAAGCCTTTCCACTGCATGAATTTTGTTGAAATACCTATACTAACATAATCAAAGGTCCAAGAAAGTAAACACTTGAGAAAATTCTGGAACAACTTTTTTTTTTTTTTTTTTTTTTTTTCTTTAAATATTGAATACTGCAGAGAACAGCCAGTATTTCAAACACTAACAGGTTCCATTTGGTTGAGTTCAGGAGCCTCATACGTTTTTGCTTCTAAAGATGCCTACGGGACTACAGACTCCTGTTTTGTTATTGTAATAAAGCTGTTCATTGAACCATGCTATTGAGGTGATAATATGCCAAAATATTACACATACATGCATATATATACACCTATACAAAGATACACACGTCTACACATACAACTACAAGCTGTTTGATTAAATTCCTTAAATGCTCTGGTTAAAGTGGAAAGATCCATATAAAGTAAAACTCTATAAAAGCCTCTGAAATGAACATGAGATATAGAATGCTGAGCACAGAAGAGAGATTTTATGATCCTCTGCACTTAAATTAATGATTTCAGGATCTAAAACTGAAGGAAAAATGCTGCAGAGATTAAACAGTGTAGCTACTCCCAGACCATTTCAGAAAGCTACTCCTGCTTAGACTCAAGAAGAATTTGAAAAGCCTACTAATTAATTGTGTTCCCTTTCCTCCTTATATATAAAATTAAAGGGCTTTTATGAACACAGCATAAGTCAGTAATGACATAGCACAACTAGGTTCCCAGGAACCTGGGTTAAAGTCCCAGTTCTGATGCCACCCTTGCCAGATGAACTCACAGACATGACTCAACCACCACCTGCCTCAGGTTAGAAATAAGAGGAGGACCTGTTGCCCTCAGCAGCCAGAGAACTATTAATTTGCCTCTGCTAAATGAGCACCTGAAATTCTGGCTGCTCATTTGAAGCCTTGTTCTCACAGTTTAGGCAGACTGGGCCCCAGTGTTTCAAGCTCCCAAGGGACACAGCACTGCAAAATATCTGTAACCCCCACTCCTTTGAGAAGCCAATTTTGTGCCATTTTAAAGGAAACCAAGCTTGAAAAATATTGGCATTTTTGCTTGAGGGCGCTCCCTGCTGACAGGGAGCTGCCCACTACCTCTGTGGGAGGGACAGGAGGTAGCAACAGTGTCGCCCCTGAGACAAAAACCAAACCACATCATCAAAGAGAGGAACTTGTTATGGAGCTGTAAGAAAGAGGGAACGGTATTTTTTAATGTGTGTTTCAGAAATGGGAACCATGCTGGTGGAGCTGAGACACATGAACACATGAAGCACACTGAAGATTGCAGAATTATGGAGCAGGAGCTTCCTGCTTGGGCAATAGTGCTGAAATGTTAAAAAACCCCACCACAACAAAACAACATCCCCCCTCCCCAAAAAAAAAAAAAAAAAAAAACAAAAAAAAACACAAAAAAACCCAAAAAAAGAGAAAAAGCCCCAAACAAACAATATATGAGTGGAAGATGAAAAAGGATAAAGTTTTAAAAAACTGGCCAGTCTCTGGAGCATACACAGATGTTCTGGGACTCGCTCTGCCACTGGTTTTCTGAGTTTGTTTTGTTTTTCATAGATGTAGGACATAAGCATCAGCTACCCTAGCCAACAGATTAGCCAGCACTAACTTTGCCTAGAAACAAACTGTACATCATCTTACTCTTAATAAAAAAACCAAACACTAGCTTAATGTTAAGGCTCTAAGATACACTTCCAAAAGAGGATTACCGTATTAAGTACAAAACCCCTCTAATCCCATGTGCCTTCAAAAGATGTCATCAGTTTGGTTTTGTTTATAATTTTTAAACCATACCTAGTGGCATCCTAAGTTCATAAAAGGAGTCTGAAAACAGGAAATCCAAGGAAATTACTATAGGGTGCCTTGAGGCTTTTCTCCTGTCAGCGGAGGAGTGAGTAGATCAGTGCTGTTTCTGAGAAATGGTCCTGAGGATGATTCCTTGTATCTCGATCCTAGCTCTCCAAACCCCATCCACCCAGCAACACTGCTCAGTTGTAACATTTACTTTGCAAGAGTTGCTCAAGGCTCAAATGACAATCATGTCCTCGTATCTCCTACAGCCCCGTCTTAAGAGTTTACAGTCTAAAAATCAGACTTTGTTGTCTGTCTCTGCTTGCACTCTGCACAGCTTGTAACAAATCAAGTTTCAAAAACTAGAGCTTATACGTTCGAAGTAATGTGCGGCAAGCCCTGCACAGCTAGAACCATTATGAATCTGCCTGTTTGACCTTAGTCAATGCTACGTCAGTGTCTGCATTATTATTCCCTAGTGTTTCCTTAAACATAATAGAATACATTTAGTCAGTAA